TGTGTGTGTACGTATTTTGCTATATTTAGCTTTGAATCTGTTGTTCTCTGTTGCTAACTTGGACCCTCTTCACTGCCCGCCTGGTCTTTGCACTCTGGGAACTGTGCGGCCCGCTTGGTCAGCAGTCGACGCGTCTCCACGTCCAGCGTCGCAAGGCCAAATAAATAGCGCTCTTGGAAAAAAACCATGGCTTGCTTCAACGCATTGGCTGTAATGTTACCTGTCCAGCCCAGGCCTTTTCCAGACGCACCCATGACACAAGGCCATAGCTCTTCCAGGATACTGCTAAGGGTCGCTGTAGCACCAAGCCAGTAGACGCTCTTGTTCAAACCGCTTGCAAAGACTTCGCCGAAAAACGACCTTTGATTGCAGTCAAAGGTAGCCAGCCGGTACTTGTGAACTTCTTCTCGAAGACTGCCTGCCAGCCGCCACGTTCTGTGCGGCGAGTCCTCATGCAGAGCCGTCTTCGGCCCTAGATGCTGAAGCACAGCTTCGAATAAACGTTCTAGCACGGGCCGCACAACCTCATTCTCGAATGGCTGCAATTGCGGCTTGCCCGGCTGTCGCACTGCGCCAAAAGAAAAAATGAAACGCTGTGCAAGCCCGATGCTCGAACGAAGCTCCCCCTGCGCCCACCTGGGATGTTTATCTAGAAAGCACACTGCTGCGTTGCTGCTGTAGTCGCACGACAACTTTGAAACACCACCGTTCCGATTGCAGACAAGGCACCAGTTGCGGAACACCGAAAGCTGCTGAAACAACGCGATGGTTACGTTGGTGCTCTCGCACGGGGCCTTGGCGTCCTCGCCGGTGGCCGCCTTGCGATCTTTCCGATCGAAAGCCGTCTCCCAGCTAACTGATCCGCCTTGTGCGGAATTCAGAAGCCGCTGCAAGTTGATGTGTGTGTTTTGTGTCCACGTCCCGTTGCTCGGCCAAGCCGGACACAGGACGGGCCCGCCTTCTCCAGCGGCGATCAGGCCGTATCCCTCTGTGTCACGCAGCTTTGCAATGGCTGCCGCGTGTGTCATGGGCTCGACCACGTTGAAAGAGTCTGCTGGACTGCCGGCTGCAAAGTGAGGCAGTTTCTTCATGCAGCCCTGCAACATGCGGAGCATTGGTTCAAGGGCCGGAGTCTTGCCGCCTCCAGGCTGCGCTGTACCGCAACACCAGTACCTGCTGCGAGATGTAAAGCCAGCGACATCCGCCCCTAGCTCTTTGTGCCACACGCTTGTGAACAAGCTGCCGAACGCGTCCGTGTAGAAGACGGCAGGGATGCCCGTGCTGCGGCTCCAACACTCGAACAGCACCGCCAGTGGATAGAAGCCGGCTCGCCACAGCGGGTACTGGACCTTCACGGCATCCTCGGACGTCAAGCGATCGTGCGCGTATGCACCGACTAGGCCATGCAGCTTCTGGCGCAGCTGCTCAAAAGATGTTTCCACGATCTCAGGACTGTGATGCGGCAAGGCAGCCAGACGAGCCAGGGCGTCCTGCCCAGTCTCGAACGCCGTCAAGACGTGCGCAACGTCTTTCTCGAACTGCTCAGAGCCGCAGCTGGGGCCCTTAGAGCCAGACCAGGTTGCGCTTGTCGCGCAGTCAGCCTGCTCCTCGACGTCTTCTTTTCCATGTCGGCCGCTGCTTCCTGACCAGGTGTCCGGTTTGGGCGTCGGAATCACCTCGACTCGCTCGAAGTGACTCCGGACGTGCTCGCGGCCGCCAGCATCTCGCAGCACAATGGCTTTGAACTCTCCGCCGATCCTGCTGTGCACTGTAGCTTCCACCTGTAGACGGAATTGGGCCATTTCCTTCAGAACCAACACATTCGTCTCCAGCTGGCGACAAATGATCGCGAGTTCTTCCACGCTGAAGTAATAGGCTTCCTGCTGAATGGCAACGAGATACGCAGCCACGGCCGCTTCCTCGAAGCCGGGTGGCTCCAGCGACGTCGCCACTGCAGCTTGCTGAAAACGGCGTAGCGCGGTTGCCAACTCGGCGCGCCGCTCCATATCCAGCGAGCCGTTCTCTAGCGCTGACAGCACTGAGTCTAGACTGCTGTTCAAAAGCACTCCGAGACGAAGTGCGTCGAACATGTTCGCCTCAGTGCGAATAGCTTCCATCTTCGTCTGTGGCCCCTCGGCAGGAAGTTCAAGCTGGGTGCCTTTTACTACCGCTCGCCCTTGCCGCATTTCGAAGCATGGCTGGCTAGCTTCGTGCTCCATGTAGCCAACGTTGGACAGGAAGTCGCACACACAATCCCAGGAGCTGCCAAGGAAAAAAGACCGACAGGCCTCAGTCAGTGCCTGGCGTCGCTTAGCATCTTGCAAAACTAGATCTGCTTCGCGGCCGGCCGCTTCCTCCGCAAGAGCCGCCTCTTCGGGATGCTTGTCAACAAAGACTTGCCAGAACAGTTTCGCTTCTGGGCTCGCATCGCTGGCGCAAAGAGCTGGGCGCGCTAGTTCCTGCCACATGTTCTTTCTGAGTCGCCTGGCACGCGCGTCCTCCCCTTGCAAGGCTGCTTCCAGAGCATGTAACGCCAGCTCGCGAGCTTGAGGACACTCTAGAAATCCGCCCTCATTCATCTCCCCGAAAGCTGCATGGAGAGCACACGCTCCGTCCCCGAGCGTCGGCAGCGTCCGCAGCGACTGCCCTACCCAGCTAGCAGCATCAGCAGGAAGTTCATCGTGGGCATGGAGGACACCGATGTCTGAACCAGCGGTTTCTTGCTGCCTGCTCTCCGACTTGCCAATTCTTACCCATTTCACGCAGCCCCTGGGGCGCTTGAAAGGAATCGGCGACTCGTACCGCCGCGGGGCCCGTAGAACCCAGGCATACGCATTCTTGTAGGTCACAGTTCTTGTTCCTTGAATCATGTGCTTGTCTTTGTTCTCCGGCAACCACAGATAGTTGCGGCGCTCGTCTGGAGCACTCCAGGCGTGTCCATCCCAGTGGCCCACAAGAATGCAGCCCGTGATCTCCACCTCGCCAGCTATGTCCCTACTCTTCTTCTCGAAGATGGCCACACGGCCCCGCTTCTTCGTAACTTCTCCCCGAATTTCCCAGATCTTCTGCCCAGACAAAATGAGGTCGGCCCACTCCTTCTGAACAATGAACCCGGTGCATGGCAGGTCTTGGCCGCAGCTACTGCTGGGAGCCAAAGCTGCCCCCTGTGCTGCCGGCAAACGACTTGTGCCGCCAAGACGATCTGCAGACTTGTGCACGTCGACCGGGGGGTGTGTGTTTTCTGTATGGCGGTGCCGAAAGCTCCTTTTCTCTGTGG